GGCGGAGGAGGGCCGCCAGCGGGCGGAGCGCCAGCGGGCGCGGCTGCAGGCCGAGGCGGAAGACCTGGCGCTGGACCTGCAGCAGCTGCGCCAGCACTGCTCCGGCCTGGAGAAGAGGCAGCGGAAGTTCGACACGGTGAGGGGGGAGTTCGACACTGCGGGGAGGCGGCGGGGCGGGCAGGCGGGCTGCGGGCAGGACTCTCACTCTCCCCTCACCCCCCCAGAGCCTGGCGGAGGAGAAGGCGGGCAGCGCGCGGCTGGCAGAGGAGCGCGATCGCGCCGAAGCCCACAGCCGGGAGCTGGACACCAGGCTGCTGGCGCTGGGCCGCGAGCTGCAGGACGCCCTGCAGGACAGGAGCGAGCTGGAGAGGGTCACCCGGCAGCTCAGGTCCGACATGGAGCAGCTGCTGGACTCGCAGGACGGAGTGGGCAAGAATGTGAGAGCCCGTCTGTGTGTGTGTGTGTCTGTGTGTGTGTGTCTCTGTGTGGAAGTGTGTGAGGCTGTGAGTCTCTGAGTCTGTGTGTCAGTGTGTAAGTATGTGTGTCTGTGAGTGTGTGTGTGGGTCTGTCTGAGAGTCTGTGTGTGTGTCTGTTTGTGTATCTGTGTGTCTGTCAGTCCGTCCCCAGTCAGCCTCAATCAGTCCCTGGTTGAATTTTGTAATCTGAGTCAAGCAGAGAAATGGGTCGATACCTGGGGTAAAGATTGGTGTGGTATTTATTATTGTTATTGTCCATCCAAAAGGATGGAAATTCATCTTGGCATCAGCATACAAAACCATAAAATACTTAACTCAACATGAACTTAATACATGTTAGAAACAAACAGCAGTCCTGGACAAGCAGCAGTGCACATACCGCTGACGCTGTCACCGAGTCTGGACTGAGCCCCTCCTCTGTCTCAGGTGCACGAGCTGGAGCGCAGTAACCGGGCCCTGGAGGCGGAGGCCCAGTCCCTGCGGGCCCAGGTCCAGGACCTGGAGGAGGAGCTGGGGCAGGCCGAGGACGCGAGGCTCAGGCTGGAGGTCACACTGCAGGCCCTGAGGGCGCAGTGTGAGAGGGAGGTCAGCCGCAAGGAAGACAGCGCTGAGGAGAAGAGGAGAGCGCTCAATAAACAGGTACAGAGACAGTAGAGAGAGAGATCAGCACACAGGTACAGAGAGAGGAGAGAGAGAGATCAGCACACAGGTACAGAGAGAGGAGAGAGAGAGA